ACATCTTTCTTCGTTAACTCATTTTCAAGAGATGTTGCATTCTGTGCAACCTTGTTAAGAAAGATGCCCAAGTGGGCTAACCACTGGAGACTGTTTCGAAGAACATGTTAAAGAATGAATTATTAACTGAAACCTGATGGTAGTTTTCTTAGCCTATGTTTTGCTCAGTGTTTCTAGGTGTTTATAAACATCTCAGTTAAAAACACTTTTGGTGAACCACATTTTATCCACACGTTTTGTAGGATCCACAAGTATTACTCACTTCGCCACCACTATTTACCCTTGTTTATAAACACATTGCCAAACATACCCTCAATCTTTTTCTGACTTGAAACGACTTGAGAGACTTTTTTGAAGTCAGTTAGAATAGGAGATGTATTGTATTCCTTATTTAGCTAGGAAGTGATATGGTAATAGGAGAAAATTGTTTTCATTTCTAAGACAGGATTGCAGTTGTATATATGATTGATTTTTATTGAATAAAATCAATTCAGCCAATTTATCAATTCTCAGTTAAGTCATCTAGCATTCTTGTCATCTTTTAACTGCCGCAACCTAATGTAGAATAAATTATATTACTTGTAAAATTTTGATGGTGAATTTCTTTAAATTGGGTGCAGAGTGGAACCCATGGGGTGTTCCCGATGACTATGAATGTGAGGTTATTGAGAATGATGCTCCAGTGCCTAAGCACATCCCCCTGCATCGACCAGGTCCTCTTCCTGAGGAGTTCTACAAGACATTGGGGGCTGTTAACACTGGCACCTTGGAGGATGCTGTTTCACGCTCCAAGGACGAGCCTGCAATTACCTCGGGCGAATCACAATCAAAATAGTGTGTTTCTGATCCCATTAGTTGTTGTCGAGCAACTCCAAGGTTTTCACTTAAAATCTGGATGTGTTTTCCATGTCAGGTTTGTTGTCTCTTGTTTACGCTATTTGAAATTGTTCTGTTTAATACTTTTTTGATCGGCATTTAATTGGGATTAAGAACCCATAAAAAAGCTCGAGTTTTTAGTTAATAATTTCAAGTTGACTTGGGTTTATGTTGATTCTGGTCTGGTCCTGTCCACGTCCATGTCTGGCACATCAAGTATGTACAACACTAATAATTCTTCTCACTAGATGCTAAAAGTATCTGGATTGTTATGCCTATATATGTTCCCAGTTTCTTCACATAGTCATCTCCTTGCATTAAAAAACTCCTGCAACTTCTCTACTTACCGCTCAAAGCAAGATGAAGAATCTGCCAATTCTATCCATTGTTTGTCAGCAGAATTACGCAAGAGAAACGTATGAAATGTTTACTGTATATTGTTCTAATTGCTGTTTCTCAAACTGGGATTATACCTAGACTCTTGGTTGCATTGAGTGATGAAAATAAAAACACCAGTTTCAGACTTTTGATTATTCTTCTTCTGCAAATTCTTCATATTCTATTAAGTGTTGTGATGTTACAAAAATTTTGCAGTCACATTTAAGACGTCTTTTGAACATTTGTTTGGTTAACATTTTTCATCATTTAACTTTAATAAAGGTTTTTTGGAGTTTATTCCAAGTTTTCAATCAAATTAAAATATATTTAGGCATGATTTTGTGCTATATAGATTGCATTCAATGATTCATCAATTCTCTCTGAGGATAAACAGTGGTTGAAGAGTGGGTTATGTTTAAAATGATTTGTGACTTGTTATTTGTTTGAAAATATCGAATTCAATCAGTATCCCTATGTTCGTTTCTTGATTTAATCTAATCGGACTTCCCCTTCTTGGGCTTCCTTGTCCTCCTAACCTTCCAAAAAATAATAGGAAAAATTACCTAGAACCTATTATTAAAGATTAGTTTTCATAAATAAGTTTAAATTTCAGATTTCAAGTGGTAAATAGAATTTAAAATTTAAAATTTAAAACAGCAACCGAATTCCCCGGCAAACCCTCTCTCCCTTCTATCACTCTCTCTCTTCTATCCATATCCAACGCCCTACCCCACCTCCTCTATAATTCCATCGATCGGTTAGCACTTGTAGAAGGTGGTTCGCACAGCGGCGTCCATAAATTCCATTATCTGGGGAAGTGAAGATTTTCAAGCAAATTTTCTTGAAACTCCAAAAATGGGTTAATCCCAATTGCCAATTGATCAAACTAGTGACAAAGCTTTTCTGAGCCAACTGAACAAGTGGAAGTACAGTGGAGTGGACTGGGGGTAGGGTAGGTAGTTTCTTTCTTTCCTTTTTCAATGGTTGACTGCTGTCTTTAGAGAGAGAATCTGTGACTCTCTATCAATTTTGTGAAAGAGCTATAGAGTAATTGTGGGATTCAAGAAAAAGCTAAAGAGAATCAGTGTGTTTGAGGGTGGATTGTGGGTCCAAGTGGGGTTGGGACCTGATGAAAAAGATGAATAAATGTAGCAGAAGCTAAAGGCCACTCGTGGGGGTCAAATTGTTCAATTAGAGCCCTTACTTCGCCGTCATTGCTACTATGGTGGTGCTTGCAAAAATCCACGCGAAAACCAGGCGGTGGTGCTTTATTAGGAAACCTCTCCTACAATCCTTCACCATTTAAAAAAAATTGACGTTGTGATAATTTGATATAAACTTGACAAGTTTGCGAATAGATAAAAGTACCTTTTGGGATTAAACATCGATTTAGTAAAATACCTCAAATGCTAACCAAGGTGGTATGGTTGAAAATTCTTATACTGGTAATATACCAACACGAGAATAGGCCATGTGTCCTATATCCTGATTCACTTCATAAACATCTTAAGTGGTCGACCAACTACTTTGAGATAGCACCATCCCTGATATTCGTATATGTAGATTATCAAGAATACTAAAGTATCTGATGTGTTTTATAGATATCTATGCAAGTCTATAAGAGCTAGATAGCTCAACTCATCTTTCTTGATACGTTTAACAAATACTTTATCTTGGGAATAAGCCCTTGTTTGACGGCCATTATTTTGAAAAAGTAATGTTTTGAATAGTGATTTTTTTGAGAAATGTGCTTTTAAAAATAGGAAAAGTTTTTATATTTACGTGTAAAATATTTTATCCCGCGAATGAAAATTTAAGAGTTGTTTTAAAGAGAGACAAATAGAGACTAAAAATTAGTGTTTACAATCATTCATACGACATATTTCACTCATTGAACCTTAAAATTTGATATTTCAAACATTAGGTCAAGTTTCCATCATTGATAATTATTGGTTTGTCACAATCTCATTCCCTATGACGTTTTCCAAACTACAACCCTTGTAAGGTCATTTGCCAAAGGATCCACCAAGTTTTGCCTCGACATAACATATTCCATGGTGATTATACCATCCGAAATAAGTTGTCTTACTGAACTATATATTAAACCAATATGTATCAAATTATAACTATATAGGCCAAGAGGAATTTTACTTTAACAAATTTCTTAACCATTCTGCCTCCTTACCACTTCCATAGTAGAGTCTGCAATGATCGTTTTCTTCTTTGAATCCTATGATATGTCGTCTCCACCAAACGTGAAAATATATTCACTAGTTGATTCATGATTTTTCCTTTCGTTGATCTAAATAGCATCCGTAAACCCTTTTAAAACCAGAAGATAACCAGTATAATGAATACATAATCCATTATCCGTCTTAAATAAATTGCTTGTCAATGCAATCGACTGGGATTACTTGTGTATCTACTTAGTTTCCGAACAATAAAACGTATATTGGGTCTAGTAGATATCATATCACACATAAGGTATCCAATTTCTCGTGCATATTTTAATTGTAAAGCTGCTTTTCTCATGTCAGAATTTAATCTAACACTAAAGTCGAAAGGTGTGGATACCGACTTGTAATAGTAGTGATCAAACTTTTTCAACATATTTTCTATCTAATCAGATCAAGTAAGTATGATCCCGCCATTATGATTTAATTCCTAAAACCACATCTGCAAGTCCTTTGTCTTTCACAACGAAGTTGGATGATAACAAAGACCCGTGTTTTTTATGCTTTCTATCGCAGATCCAAATATCAACATATCATCCAAATATAGACAATAATGACCGCACGATGTCCAATAAATTTCTATACACTCTTATCATATTCATGGACCCTAAATCCGTTTGTAACAATGACTTTATCAAACTTTCCATGCCATTATTTTGGAGTTTATTCAAGTCCATACAAGGAATTGATGAACTTGCAAACCTTTTTCCCTTAACAAGGTAATATGAACCTTTCAATTGCTCCTTATACATTTCATTGACTAATTCTCCATCGAGAAAAGTTGTTTTAATGTTTATTTGATAGATTTCAAGCTTGTATGCCGAAGCTGAACAACTGAAGTCCATATATTAGCCTCCACCAACCAGTGCATAGTAAAAGTCTAAGCTTTCTTTTTGAGTAAAACCTTCAGCTACTTGCACTGCTTAGAATTTATCTATGAGTCCATCTACTTTCATCTTCTTTATTAAGATCCATATAAACCCAATGAGTTTGGAAACTGGTGGAAGATCAACCAATTCTCAAATTTTGTTACTTGTAACTGATTGCATTTCGTCATATATATTGGGCCGTGATGCTAAATTTAAATTTGGCCCAATCCAAAGGGCGATGATGAAATTGGGCTTTGCCCATTTGCTGGCTTACTTAATCCATTGCCCGATAACACTTAGTGAAATGGGCCTAAACCTGGCCCCAATCTCGGAAGACACATGTGCAGCTCTTGATCGTTAGATCGTCCTACTGAAATCAACGGTGATGAGATGGTGATATAAATTGACCTGAGTGGTTGTCTTACGTGACTTTTCGATCTCTAATTTCTTGAGAGGCTTCTGAGTTTTATCTGTGTTTTCTTTTGTGTCTCTTCTCATTCCTTTAGTGAATTTCTTGGTGTACTTTGTGTAAATCCATTAAAACTTTTGGTTTTAATCTGTGTGTGTTGAGTCTTTGTGATTCTTCGATTAAGGGTTGAGAAGTTGAAATCAAAGTTAGGGTTGGTTTTTCGGTCCATTGTAGTAGCTGCCTTTGTTCGATCCTTTGGGATTTAGGTTTAAGGAGTTTTCACTTTGTACATAAGGGTACAATGATGTTTTGAGCCCAAAACACCTTGAATCTTGATGCTAATGCTCATTTTGGTAGTCTGTATTTTTCGAGATCCTTTGGGTTTTGAGTTGTAACAGTGGTATCAGAGCCATTCTTGGCTAGTCGTGTCTCATCTTTGTGCTCTGGTTGTAAAAAATTAATCTTCACAATCGAATCTTGAAAGATTTGACAAGTGGTAAAACTCTAGATTCTATTGCTGGTTGACTTTTGGGTTTCTTGTAGCGATTCTGTGAGAGATCAATCTTGGTTCTCTTACGATTATTGTGTGAATCGTGTTATTGGTTATCAGATCTGAATTTTTTTTTTTGTTAACTGTATCTTAACCACTTGTGTATTTTGCAGGGGATATTTGAGAACTGTGGTTGAGATTTCTTAGTCCACTATATGATTATATTATATTCTTTTTCTCTAAACCCTAACATTTGATTTTTTCTTGTTTTAATTGACCTTGTGTATAAGTGTGTTAAGCCTTATCACTTTAAGAAATTCTTTTGAATTGTATATTGTAATTGTTCTTTACTTAATTGTTTTTTCCCCTTGTGTTTCCTCCCATATTCTTTGCACCTATTGTGTTTCGAATTGAGCTTTGACCTGGGATCTTTGAGCTTCAAGGAATCCTGGTGAATTCAATCACAAGTAACTTGGAGTTATTAACTGAGTGTATTTGTTCTTGATATTGCTGATATTCCATATTGTATGACCCTGTGTGAGTTGTCAAATACTTTATTGAGAGTATCTAAATTTACTGTTGAACATTGATTCTTAAACAAAATTTTTTGTGTTGATTAAAAATTTTCAAATGACCACTACAACGTTTGAACTTGGAATTTTTAATGAAAAATGAGATTTTCCCATTCAGCAACAAAAAATTAGAGGAGTCATTGTTCAACAGAAAGTTTCAAAGGCAATAACTTGTGAATTTTTTGAAACTATGACTGCTGACCAACAAACTAAATCTGATGAATTTTCTGAAACTATATCATTAAAAAAGCAAAATTTTCAAAAACTTTCTTAGTTTATCCTTATTTATATTTGTCCAATTTCAAGATTAAGCCCCTATTTGTTTCCCATTTTTTCTCATTAAAATGAAAAATGTGATCGTTATCCATTATAGCAAGCCATCAAATTTGAATTTCTATCTCTTGTGTGAGGTTCATAATGACTATATTTTTCTTTCTCATTTTTACAAAAATGAGTAACAAACGCCCCTCCTAAATGGGAAAATATTAATTATAACTAGACAAATTAAATCAGGGTATATTAGTAAATGAACAAAATAAGATATTCTCAATAAAAAAAACAGAAGAGAGAGTAATATTAATCATTTTCTTGATTTTGGAACGTAATTGACCTAAATAACAATGTATGTCAATAGTCCACAAAAAAATCATTTATTAAATAATTTTCATCTCATTATGGTTTGATATCGAGTAAGATGAGCTTACAAATGATAGTGGTCCAAAATACAATACAATATAATATTTATGAGTAAATAATTATGATTAAAATAGTTGGAGCAGAATATTGAGACTTGAGATTCCATTTTAAAAGGTCAATCATATTAAGAGAAGTAGTTCAAACTCGTATGTGTTGATCCATATTTTCATTTTTATTCGATATGAAATGTATTCTTTAATAAAATATTAAAAATATTTCAACATTCTATTTTATTACAGAGCTAGAAAAGTTGGAGAGACCGCTGCCAAAGCAAGCTCAACAAACAAGTTTAAGTTGTTTGACATTTACTAAAATGATTTTTATTTCATTTTTTTTTTTTTGAGAAAAATGAGTTTTAAAATAATGACTTTTGGGAGAATATATGATTAAAAAGTAGTTAAAAGATATTGAGTTTTACGTATAAAATATTTTGTTTTGTGAATTTGTTGGTCAAAATGAGTTTAAAAAAAAATGAATTTTGATTAATGGATGTCAAACAGGTTCCATTATTTTCAAAATATATTTTTCCTTCTTTCATTTTCAATCACATATTTTTCAAAGGCCAACCACGGCATTTCTTTGCAACTCTAGGTGAAGACCTATTTATTTTGTAGAACCACTCAAAACAGTCGTGAGCTTTTTGACTGCCTTTTTTGGGATTAATATAAAAGAAAAATAAACATAAATTAATTTTTTAAAAATTATTTAACCACACATTCTCTATCAAAATATCATTCTAAAATATTTTTTTTTTTTGGGTGGGGGTGGGGTGGGAGTGGGGGGAATGGGGCTATTGATAGAATGACCTTGGCAACTTACAAATATTGGTAAAAATTATACTTGTGGTTTTCACCACAAAGTACGTACAAATGGAGCCCGACTTGGTTTTCAAGAGTGAAGAACAAGTCTAGTGAATCGTGATATGGGCCGTGCGATACGTCCAGGGCCCACATTGGCCATGGACAAGTATCTTTTCCCAATATGAACTGCTTTCGGTCAAATTCCCATAGAACCACCCATCAAAGTCAAATTAAAAAAACAACAACCTACATTTCTAATTAACGCGGCCCGCTACATAAAATAGCTAATGCATGATTTTCCTCTCCCAAAAAATCAATTTTTTAATAGTTATTTCATTATTGTAGCTGTCATTTTTTATTTCTTTTCTCACAAGTAATATTACTTTTCTCTCTAGAGATCAAAAAATCAATTCTTAAAATCACTATCGAACAAACCCTTAACTTCTTGTAGACATTGGATAGTGGATATATAGTAACTAAGATATTGCTAACGCGCAAGACAAAATATCAAGAAGATCCAATTTTTCCAAATAACATCTAGAAAGTCAAGAAATAGAACTCCATGAAACACGTTAGCGTACCTACGTAGAAATTCTCATCAGTCCTTGTTCATGCAGAAACTTCAACAATGGTGGAACACCCCCTACTCCACCCCACCCCAACCACTCCCTCAATCAACTTATATATATAGACATGTATGAATCTACTAAAATATCTCATCATTACTAGCATTTTCTTTCAGTCCTAAGATATTTTGAGCCAGAAGCTTAAGACTCAAGAATGGCGGAAAATAAGCCAGCATCAGTCTACACTTCATCGCAGGTGAATCCTTACGGTCGAGTCGATGAAGAGGTGGCTATGGTGGCTGAGGAGGAGGCCCGCCGCAAGAAACGGATGAAATGTTTCATGTACGTTGCAGCCTTCGTCGTGTTTCAGACAGGAGTCATTCTAATCTTTGCACTCACTGTAATGAAAGTGAGAACTCCCAAATTCAGAGTCCGGTCTGCTTCTTTCGACACTTTTAATGTAACAAAGTCAAACACGAATCCCTCCTTCGACATTAGTATGATAGCTGAACTTGGCGTCAAGAACCCTAATTTTGGTCGCTACAAATATCAGAGTAGCACGATTGAATTCTATTACAGGAACACAAAAGTTGGAGAGGCGAGTATTCCTAGAGCAAGAGCGAAAGCTCGGTCGACGAGGAAATTTAATGTAATGGTGGTTTTCTCGTCTGCAAATGTTCCAAGAGAGGATTTTGATGCACAATTTGCAAATAGTACAGTTATTTCATTGAGAAGCCAGTCTAGATTGAGAGGAAAAGTGGAGCTTATGAAGATTATGAAGAAAAGCAAATCTACTAATATGAATTGCACCATGGAAATCAATACTTCTTCGAGGCAGCTTAGGATTTTGTCTTGCAGATAAGCTTAGTTTATATGTTTGATCCATACATCTCTATGTTTCTTCTGATTTCTTAAATATGTTATTATTTCCAATTCTTTGTATGTTATTTTTATTTTCCGGATTGCTATTGGACTATCGTGTGATTTACATATATGATGAAATTATTTTACATATTCACACACATAAATATATATATATATATATATACACACACACACGAAAATGATATGTTAAACATCGGTGTTTAGCTTATGTTAAGCACTAGTGACATGACACACCATTGCTTTAAAGTTTCATCAATTTTCAATACCTTCTCTTTAGCTTTTTATTAAACTATATAACTTGTTTATTTAATATTTATATTTTTGATAATCTTCTCTAACAAAAGCTTGAATCACTTGTGACTTGAACTCAAATTCATTCAATTTTACTTTTACCAAACAATTTAATGTAAGAGAATTGAATTATTGTAAAATGGATAAACTATTAATTATATATTCATGAAATTTATATCCTTTATTTAGTCAAAAGTCAACTATTTGGCACTGCAGCAGAGATGAGGACCAGATATGAAGTGTACCCACTGTTTACGTGTGGGGCATCCTTAAAATCTAAATACAAAAAAAAAAAAAAAAAAGTTTTAAATAGTATTTTTTTTTTTTTTTTTTTTTTTAGAGAATGTGTGGTTAAAAAGTAGAAATTTTTTTCGAGTTTACGTGTTATGTGAATGTGTGGTTGAAAATGAGTATGGAAAATAAATAAATTAAAGTCAAGAATGTCAAACAGGGGCTAAATTAGTGGGTGCAAATTGTACTTTATTGGACTTTTGTGCTAGTGTATGCATTAAGCTCATGAAAAAATTTAGGGTAAATTTCAGTTGGAGAATCTTTAAATGTTAAGATGATAGGATCTCGAAGAGTTCAAAGATGTTAAACGTCTGTGCTAAGGGTCCCTTTTGGATGAAAAAACGATAAATTTATTATCGAAAGATCAAATTGTGAATGAAATTACCATTTCACCATTAGTTTGTTTAAAACAAATAAGGGTAAATTGCACTTGGGGTCCTAAACCTTTGATTCTTAACACCGGAAGTTCCAAATCTTTCAAACTTCTACAAAAGGTTCCTTTTTGGATAGAAAGTATGAGATTAACTCATAATAAAAAAAATTGAAAAAAATTAGTTTAGTCAAAACATATAAATGAAGAAAATAAAGTAAAAAACAAAGAAAAATAAAAACAATAAAAGGAAAATAAATGTTGAAATAGCCATAAAATATAGGGATGACAATTGGGCGGGTCGGTAATTCCCGTTTTCTGTTCTATCAAATACTTTTGTCATCTTGCCCCGCTCCAATACACATTTAAGACAAGATGCGGTGGGCAGGCAAAGATCTCCTGATTCATTTATCGCTCCATTAATTATTATTTTATTTATTTTAATGGATTTTTTACCATCCCTAAATGGGTTTCTTGGCATGATTTCGCATTTGATTTTACTATTATTAAAACAAATTACCGCAATACGATATGGAATCCAAGAATTCATTACGTCATAACTAATAAGAAAGACCAATTGCAAAATGAACTGAGAGGTGTTGGAGCTATGTCC